CCACTTTAGTGTAACATAATAGTATTTGTCTAAATTTATTCTATGTATTGTTTCCCTTACCATCCTCAGCAAAGAGATAGACATAATTTCCTTCTAACCTGCATTATATATGTTGATTATTTAAATCATTTTTTCAAGATTATCAAATTTTATTTGACAAAATCAAGACATGCCTAAATATGGTCATGATGACATCACATCAATACAAACATTGTGACTATATATGGACATACAACAACAGTTTTTTGTCAAAGAAAATTTGATAATCTGACAGTGCCTTTAGGCTGTTCTCCACTAGGCAAATGTATTTGCGTGAAACAAAAGTGTCAGTTCTCTTCCTGAGCTTTGATTGGTTGTACATATTTTCGCTTTGTAAAAGGTAGAAATAGTTTGAACTACTGATTTTGCTGAAGCGAAAACTCAGATAGAAACGTGAATGCACATGCGCATAAACTGACACTTTTGATTCCGATGAATAAATTTGCCTAGTGGAAAACAGCCTTTAGGGTTCATCTTTGCCAGAAAGAATGTCCTCAGTCTCCTATCTGTAGAATGGGTTACAGCTAATAATAAAAATAATTATAAAACACCAATAACAATACTATACGGAGAAAAATTAGGTAATAAAAAAAAATTAGGTTTCTGATGGGAATTTGAAATGGTACGAAATGAAATAGAAATACTGAGAAAACCAGAAATAATATAATATAGTACACTTATTGCATGAGTTGCATCCACAACCTTGGTATTAAAATTAACAGCAAGACACAGCTAAATACATTTTAAGTGAAACACCATTTATAAATTATTCTTAATTTTGTCGCAGCGAGTTTTCTCACTTAAACGCCGCAACGTCATTGTCATCGCCACCTTGAGATAAAGACAATAGCACATTTCTGATTGCATAATGGAACGCATGTTGTTATATAGGGGCATGCATCAATTGGGTTGCATACTATGGCAACAGACCATTAGCAATATCTCATTTGGTCTTTGTGCAAGACATTTCTGTGATTAGAGAGAGTTCGATGCCAGTACTGCAATAATAACTCACCGCTGTAATGATATGGAGCAAAATGCGATCAGCATTGTGAATATTATTTAACATTAACACAAAATGTTTATATTAATCATTGATCAAAATAATAATAATAATGAAATTATTGTTCAAAATAATTATAATAATGAAATTGAATATGAAAATAATGAAAGAAAAAAATAGCACTACACATGTTTTAGCTTAAAAGAGAACTAGCAAAATGATTTTTTGTTTTAGAGAGGATTTTTGATATGCCATTAATAATAGAATCAACCTTAAAATCGTTTTTTTGGCCTTTTTTTAATGAAGTTATAGGCAATTATATACGATTTTACTATGACGTCACTGGCGAAAGAGTAACAAAAGATCATGTAAATAGCGCCGCGTAGGGTATCCGCTGCGTACGATCTTTGCGTGTACGCTGTAACCATGGCTGTAAATTGTGATTGTTACAGCATGCACGCAATGATCGTACACGGCGGATATCCTACGCAATGGATACCCTACGCGGCACTATTTACACGGTCTTTTGTTACTTTTTCGCCAGTGACGTCATGGTAAAATCTTATATAATCATCTATAACTTCATAAAAAATAGCCAAAGAACGATTTTAAGGTTGATTCTATTATTAATGACATATCAAATATCCACTCTAGAACAAAAAATCATTTTGCTAGTTCTCTTTTAACATCAAATCAAATCTTTATTGTCCAAATATAACAAAGTGTATTTTTGGAAATTCATCATTAGACACAAACTGAAACCCTACCAACAAAAAACAAACTGCACAATCATTCTTAAACTACACAATCAAAAAGTCAGAAAAAAGAAACAAAGGCAAAAAATGACTAATTTACGATTGATTAAAAGATTTATAATTTCAATTTGAATTGAAAAAAATTGCAATGACAAAGCTACATGAAAGTAATAATACATAGCCACTATATACTACTACTATGAGGCCTAGTATACACATATCGTTTTGTGCAATCCTGTATCATTGTATAGCTAAAGTTACGTTTTGATCACCTGTTTATGGTTTTTATACTTATTTGTATTAAACAGGTTACACAATTTTCATGACTACGTAATGATTTCATGACAATAAAAATAATTAAATTTTTATGTTTGATTTTGCAATAGGTCTGGAAAGAAATATAATAGGCACCATAAATAGCCTATCAGAGGGCGGACTTTATTTACTGTATAAAGTATACATGAAAGCGAGAGCATTCCAGCGGATGCGATATACAACCTCAGAATTTGCCGAGTAATGAAGAACTTGTTGAGAAAATTGTATTCTCCTATGAGAAATAGTCTCTATTTCTCATTTTTTTTTCATCCTTTTGTTTAAAACTGAAGTTTATGCCAATATTTTCCCATGCTTTATAATAATTAGAGTAGTGCATATGCATTTTTTCTAAAAAAAAATATTCATTTTTTTAGTGCAATTTTGTTAGGAATGAGGCTTTAAGTACAGTATCACAAGTACTTCACAAGTTTTGTCTTATTAATGCTATTAGTATTATGGTCACGGTGCGGTATTGTACATGCTTAAGAGTAATAAATTCATGGTGTACTATGTCGCTTTCTGTTCATAAATTAAAAAACAGTTTTTAAAAACAACCAAATCAATCATTACTAAAATACTGTATTTCTAAAACTATAGGTGACTTTTGAAATAAGAAATCTCCATTACTTTGTATGCAAATATTCGCTACGATTACACTCATTGAATTCATAATGAATGTTATGAATAAATTAGAAATAATTTAAATGATATCTTTGTAGGTATGTATGTAGAAACTAATGGCTAAGCTTCATTAAGACAGGTTTTAGCTAAAGTATTCATATTAAAGCAACAAATACACTTAGTTCTTCCCATACAGAAGTAGACTTAAAAAGAGACAAATTTTGCTGTTTGTTTATGTACAGTACTGCAAAGTACAACCAGGTCGGAATTTGTAAACTACAATCAATGTACGTAATTGCCAAGTTTGTTTTTAAATTTCTGAACAGTTTTTGTGTAAGTGCTATTATCTGGATTAACAGAAATTACTATAATGTATTTTAATAATGTGAAGTAGTTTTATTTATATTACTGGGCATAATATAATTGGCGTAACATCTCAAGGCACATTATATTTTATAATTAATGACAATCGCACAAAAACAGAGGCAATCAAATACAAAGTGGAATCAAATGTGGTTTAAGGTGAACTGGAAATATCGGTTTTCAACCGCCTTTTTAAAATCCCCATCGGAGGTGATGGCGGATGGAGTCAGGAAAGAGTTCACCAGCTGAGGAGCTGCCATTCCAAGTGCTGTCTCATAGCACGTCTTGAGACACATTAAGTGTTTTATGTGCAATTTAACTG